CGGCGGCGTTGGGAGGATTTCCGCGAAGAAGATTGCAAAACCCCAAGATCAGGTTTCAGTGGCTACCTGTGGTGATCAGTTAGTTGACAGCAGATTGGTTTTGGAGATTTACAAGAGATTGGCAGCTTCTCGCCAATTGGCTGATCATGGATTGATAGTTGAAAGTCAAAGCAACTTCTTCAACTTGATGGATATGTAGTTTCGTTTTTAATTAGTGTTACCATTTTGATAATTCTATTTGTTAAATGTTAATCAAAAGTTTGGACGTCTGCAGAAATTGTAAAGTTTTTGTACTCTGGGAGCCTTTAAAGAAACTCAATATAAATTGGTTGAATTTTTGGTACGTATGTGCGTTTAATTTAACACTCATACATATTTCATCCACCTACACTTGGTAACTGAATTTTTTTACAACACGCAAGGGAAGTGCATGAAACTAAAAATGAGTGTGTATACAAAGTCTGCAAGCCATCTTTGAAAAAACGTTGTACTCCCGAGGCGGCCTAAGCAATGAAACTTAGAGCTCGTTTGAAACTGTTTTTTAAATGGATGAAAGTGCTTTTTGTGGAGATGTTATTAGAAACAATCTTTTGTAAAAATGCAAGTGCATACTTGTAGTGCTTTAAACACCAGTTATGTGCTTCTTGTACGCAGGAAGCACTTTTGTAACCCATAAACATTTGCTCTAAAAACGTTTTCAGTCATTTTAAAAACACTTTCAAACGAGCCCTTAACTTCTCAAACTATGTACGCCTTGTGAGTCAAACCACATTTTCCATAAATTTTAGAACTCAGTTATACTATTTGGTAGAAAATATTGCAGTCCTAGTCTTTATAATTAGTCACTTGAGGGCACGTTTGTTTGGCCTCTTTAAGTCTCACTGGACTGGACTGCCTTAGGTAGGAGTCCTAGCCCGTGTATGGCGCAAACAAAGACTGCCTTTAATGAGATTAAGTCGGACTCGCACCGACTAAAAGCTTCACTAGCTGTTCTTAGCTGGTCCCCCCAAAAACTGGCGGATTGCTAATCTCGTCTCTAGCGCCCACGTCGTCTGCAAGCATACATCCCGGATCTCCTTCTTCCCGCGAACCCAGTTACCAAATCATGCCTTCCGCCCTCTTCTCTAGTCACCAAATCTGAAATGGCTCTGCCCATTCCGTCCCGCGAACCCAACCCCCTGTTTGCTTCAGAGATGAATTCATTCAGTTAAGCTTCGAATAAGCTTAATCCACACCATACACAACACTTCAATTCGAAGATTAAACCTTATAAATCCCAAATATATAAAATATCAAAATCTGCAATAAACCTAGAAATCTATTACCTTGGGTTGCTGTGCACTTCTCCAGAAATTTGTAGGCAAAAAACGAAAGACCTCCAGAAATCCACAATGCTCTTCTCTAGAAACCCAGAAATCTATTACCTTGATTTGGGATTTTTGTGAAAAAGAGAGCTATCTCTAGTTAGAGGAACAAGAAGAAAGACTTGTTGGTCTTTGATCCAAATTAGGTGCAAAATGCACAGCTTCCTCCGTTGAAGAAGAAAACAGGGAGAAAAAGGGGAGAAAAAAGAGGGATGAGAGGGAGACGGTGTGCCGGAGAAAACGAGGGAGAATGGTGGAAAAATGGTGGATGTTTCCAGAAAAAAGGAAGAGAATCCAAAAAGAAAAAAATAAATTAAAAATAAAATAGATAAAATATTAATAGATACATAAAATATTGATAGATATATATATAATATTATAATTTATTAATTAGTCTGCTTCTTAGTCCGACACTGCACCAAACACTACATTAAGCTAGTCCAGCTTAGTCTAGTCTAAGCCAGTCCAGCTTAGTTCCTGAAGCTAGTCCAGTCCGAGACAGTTCGGTACAACAAACACCTCCTGAGAGTTTTTAGGAAAGCTAGGGTTAAATAGCTATTTATGTAATCAAGGGCTAAAATGTTATGGTTTTATTGTAAATAACCTATACTGATAATGGTTAAATGATTTGAAAAGGTAATGCTAGAGAGATCAATTATTTAGACCAAATTTTATAAATCATATGACGTGGTTGTTAATGATTGAATTATTACTTAAATGTTGATTAACGTGCTTATTTTTTATTGATGACACATCACATGATTTACAAATTTAGTCTAAATACTACCAAATTGCACAAATCAATTATATATACTTCACGAATCATTCAATAGGAGCACAAGGATATCGGAATTATTTAATAATTAATATGGATAACGAGAAAGTCGAGCCGCACTTCTTATGCGGGAGAAATTTTTCATTGGGAAGGGAACACGGGGGATACATCACTTGTTTTTATGTAAGTGGTGATAAATTTTAATTTTTAAATTATTAACATTTTAATACACATACCCGCAATTTATTTAGTAACACGTAGTGTATCACTCCATATTCCAATCACACTAAAAAATCTCTCTTTTTGCGGGTTGATCATGAGCTTCTAACTGGAATATATTTGGCCTTTCAGCTACCAAGTCTTTTTCTATGTGCCAAATCTTGTTTTTTGCTTATATAAAATTATTTGAGAAGAGAATATTATTGTTTTATATAATATTGATGCCGTTTCCATCGGAATGTGGTGTGAATTTGTTGATGTTGATTTTATACCCTTTTGTTTTGTTTGTTTTTGTAATGGATGACAGCAATCATATGTAACAGGGACTGAATTAGTAATCAAATTCGAATATAATATTATGTCGATTCATTATTCAAACAAAAAAGGATTAGCCCTTGCCCAGTCAGACATATTGATCAAGTTCATTTTACAAAACTGAATATATTCACATAATTGTTTGATATATCCCGCGCTCAACCATAAGACCTAGCCTGCCACCTTGACTTGGCACCGAAATTCTTCTCCTCCTCTATATAAACCCCATCTGACTTCCTCTCTTGACACACCTCTCTCAAGTCATTTCTACACACACAACTTAAGAAACTGAGTGCAGACACATTAGTACTACTAGAAATCAATTAAAATGGAGATTGTTTCGACCACTTACTACGACAACTTGAAGAGGTACTGGAGGAGGAGAAGGTATCAGAGGCTGAATGCTGACACCAAGAAGAAGATGAGGGTGGCGAAGCTCGGTGGCGGTGGAGCTAAGGGGAGTCCTAGACGTAGTTGGAAGCTCAAAACTAAGCTGAGGCTGCTGAAGTTTGTTTCCCCTATAAAGCTTTTGGCTAAGTTGCATAACGGTTACGTTGACATGATGATTCGGATGGCGGGCAAGGCCGGCGGTGTGGGAAGGATTGCCGCGAAGAAGATCGCAAAACCCCAAGACCAGATTTCAGTGGCTTCTTGTGGTGACGAGTTAGTTGACAGCAGATTGGTTTGGGAGATTTACAAGAGGTTGGCAGCTTCTCGCCAACTAGCTGCCTATTGAATCTTGATAAGTTGAAGCCCAAGCAACTTCTTCGTATTTAGTTTCATCTTCAGTGTGACCAGTGTTTGATTAGTTATATTTGTTACTCAAAAAGTTTGTAATTGTATGAATTTTGTATTCATGGCAGCTTCTCAAGAACTCAATTATTTATTCAATTAATTTTTCTTTGTATGTGTATGTAATCTCTTATAACTTAATTAACCATCTCCGCTTCAATTTCTGTACTTTAAAATTTTATCTCTGAACACAAAAGAGGAGGATGGAAAGTCAAACCACGAGAGTGTGTGTGTGTGTATGAAGCAATGAAATTTGGGTTCATTGGAGAATTGATAGAGCATTGAATGCAGTGCGTTTATTATAAACATGTAGCGACTTTGATGAAAAATTAAAATGCTTCTTGAAAATATATTTTTACCACTCATAAGTGCTTATGTAATTTTTGACAGACGTAGTAAAAAATGTTTGGGTTATTAAAAACCTCTTCTAACCATTTTAAAAGCAATCTCAAGCAAACATTTAACCTTTTAACATTAGTCAAATCACATACGATAGATTCATTTCTTATTTTCTTTTAGCACAAGTTAAGTCAACTGCATGCGGTTGATGGCCTTGATCGGAAACAGGACCACTGTGAAATTAGATACCGATAGTGAGAAGATTATATATATATATATATATATATATATATAGCTAATTTTATGTAGTCAAGGGATAATCATCTGATGAAACATGGTTAATTTGAAAGCTTACAACTGTTGTTGTGAAGTTCTAAAAACTTAAAACATATGATCATGATCAAAATCTGCATGCATACAACAAATTTAAGATGATCACTTGCACAAAGTCAATCGTATATAATTCACCATTCATGCATGCAAGAAGAGCACAAATATATGGATTTTTGATATGAGAGTTTCCTAAGTGAAATTTCAACCACCAATTTTTTTCCCTAGCTATGTGCCAAATTGTGTCTTCCTTTTCATTGCTTATCAAATTATATGACAAGATAATATTTTTATATTTATATAATTAATTCCGTTTTCCATCTGAATGTGGTGTAAATTTGTTATATTAATTTTGTGCCTTTTTCTTGTTTGTTTTTGCAAAGGATATGGATGATAGCAAAATGACTCATTTGGAAATGTTTTTAAAATGACTGAAAACATTTTTAGAGAAAATGTTTTTAGATTTCAAAAGCACTAACTACCAGTTATGTGCTTCATGCAAGAATAACCAGTTATATGCTTCATGTAAGAAGAACCAGTTATGTGCTTCATGCAAGAAGCACTTCAAGTTCTTTTTCATGATTCACTTGCATTTTTACTAAAAATTAGTTTAGAAAAAAAAACATTTTCACCAAAACACTTTCAGTTATTTTAAAAACACTTCTCGACGAGCCCTAGTAATTATACAGATATAAGTATTCCATGGATTAGATTTAGTATAATCAATTCGGTATAACATGCAGGATATATCAATGTTGATTACTCAAATAAACAAGATTAGCCCACCTGGTCAGACGTACAATATTGACCAAGTACACTGCAAAACTCACATATATATTCTCATAAATTAGTATGATTATATTCCCTCTAGTAATGTAAGACCTAGCCTTACTTTCTGACTTGGCACACAGTTCTCCTCCTCGTCTATATAAACCCTTCTTACTTCCTCTCTTGGCACACCTCTTTCAAACCCTCAAAACCCTCTCTCTTTATATAAACACAACAAAGAAACTGGGTGCAGACACTACTAGCTAGTAGAAATCAATTAAAATGGAGATCGACCCGACAACATACTACGACAACTTGAAGAGGTACTGGAGGAGGAGAAGGTACCAAAGGATGAATGGTGAGACCAGAAAGAAGATGAGGGTCACCAGGCTCGGCGGAGGAGCTAAAGGGAGCAACAGTCCTAGGCGGAGTTGGAAGCTCAAGACCAAGCTGAGGTTTCTGAAGTTTGTTTCACCAATAAAACTTTTGGCAAAGTTGCATAATGGTTACGTTGACATGATGATTCGGATGGCGGGCAAGGCCGGGGGTGTGGGAAGGATTGCCGCGAAGAAGATTGCAAAACCCCAAGACCAGATTTCAATGGCTTCTTGTGGTGACGAATTAGTTGACAGCAGATTGGTTTTGGAGATTTACAAGAGGCTGGCTGCTTCTCGCCAACTAGCAGCTGGCTGCTGATTCGAATTCAGATATACATTTAGTTTCATATTTACTTCACTTTTCTTCCTGTTTATCAGAAGTCTGAAAGTTAGGCTGTTTGAGACAGTGACGTTGTAATAACTAAACAGTTTGTAACTGTAAAAATGTTCTCCTCACTCCTCATGGGACCTTTTGAAGTACTCATCAAGTGTGTTTAAAATTTAGAAAAACTAATGAAAAGGGTTTGAAAACTTTGAGTTTTAATGATAAGGACAAAATAAAGGGTAAAGTGAATAGTACCAGGATTGACTTTTTAGTGTAAAAATGTGGTTTTTCGTTAAAGTGAACAGTACCGGGTGATTTTCGTTAAAGTTCCCTTAAAATTTTCCTACGTGCCAATCGTTTTTATATATTTTGAGAACTCAATCATCTCTCAGTAGATAACTTTGTGACTTTTCTTTAGACAAAAGATAACTATTTGTGATTAAATTCAATGATAAGACCAATTAATTATACAGTATGTAACTGTTCCAGTCTTACTTCAAAAAGGGTGTGTAGGAAAAGAACATACATGATGCGGATCATTCGCTGAGGACTTTTATTAGGGTGTCAATATTTTAAACTAATAAAATATTATTATACAAGAAATGTATAACAGTATGTGATTATCTTGTGTTACATAACTCTCAGAATTGAATCCTCTCCTGAGCACAAGCTCAGGATTACGTGAGCAGTTGGATTTTGATCAAACGGTTACAAACAGATGATTCCTTTAAAAGTTATAATAATTGTAGTCATTTGATCAAAATCCAACTGCTCACGTGGGCTAATCAGATCCTGCTGACCAGTCCACGTGAACCGTTGGATCAAAATCCAACGGTTACAAACAGATGATTCCTTTAAAAATTATAATAATTGTAATCGTTTGATCAAAATCCAACCGCTCACGTGGGTTGATCAAGAGGATCATGAGCTTGTGCTCAGGAGAGGATCCAATTCCATAGCGCATTGACACACAAGTAAGATGGAGTGGAATCAGCTTGTTTGGTAAGAAAGAAGAAGAGAGAAGACAACTAACAATTTTTTTGTGTTGTCAACATGTCACTCAATCGCAGCCGCAGGATCAAATCAGAAGGTGAGAAAAATATTCTGTATTCATGCTCAGCTGTACCGAAGAAAAATTGAACAATTATGGAAAAAAAGAGAGCAAATTAAAAAAAAGCAGTTCCCCACACGCCTCAAACTCGTCAATTTATGGCAGTTCAGTTCCCTGCAACGCAAACTAAAGATCATATCTATATTACTGTGTCTGGCCCCATTCGACCTAACTTTATAATAAGTTCTACCCACTATTTGGAAAAGTGCTTTTAGCTTTTAAGCTCGAACTCTTTGGTCCATGTGCTTGTGTTTGACTGTTAAGTAGCTATCTCTATTTCTCAACAGTTGACAGATCTTTTAATCTTTCAGTGCTTCGAGAGATCGAGGGCAACAAGTGATAGCATGGAGGAGGAGGAAGGTCCTTATCAGCCTCTTCAAGGCGGGGACGCCATTTCTTCCGACGACACTCGCCTGAACCAGCTCGGTTACAAGCAAGAGCTCAGTCGTCACCTCTCGTATGAACCCTATCCCCTTGAATTTCATTTTACCCTTAACTTCTTCTGTACTTGAATCTGATTCTGCTGTATATCTGAAAGCACTTTTGAGTTTTGACCTTTCTGTATTGGGGCTGCTGGGTTTATGCAGTTAAAGCACTTTTCATTGTGTGTGCATTTTGTTTCCCACATCACAATCACATATTTTTCAGTTCTGTTTACTTCTGGATAATTATCATTTATTCATCACAGCTGTTTTGGACTTTTAGTCGTTGAATATCAGTTCTAACATGAGCACATATAATATGATTGCTAATTTCCACTAAAATATCGAAAATGCATCAGATATTTTGGTATATTTCTTGTCACTCTCAACTACTGTTTAAAATATTAATATAGGAATAACGAGAAGCAAATTTATAAAAATATCGATATAGGTTGTCTTGAACATTTGCAATAGGGTGAATATATCAACTCATTTATATTTAGTCGAACTTAGAAAAAAAATAAAAAGAAAATTGAAAGTTTGAAACCTGCAATGGCAAAATATTTGTAGTGAATCTTCATAAATTTTCCTATATCCACAATTTCATAGATATTTTAAACCAGGAAAAGCTCCTTTCTTTTAATTTTCAATGTTTCAAATTGCTTGGGGTTTCATGCCATCTATTTCTTTTGCATATTTTCCTGGCCGTTGTTTTTGAACATCATTTATTGATTCAACATGTCACATTAGAGAGTGACTTTGAATAATATTTTTAAACAAATATCTAGTCAATTTATTTTAATTTTCTACTTTTCCGCCTAATAATTTAATTGGTCACACTGAATAAATAACTTACTTAGTTACGACCCAATCTGCAGTCAAAATGTTACAAACGAAGAATAAAAAGAGAAATAACAACTTACGTGTATAGATAACATTACAAAATCGAATCTAAAATTCTTGATTTCTAAATTAAGTAATTTGTTAGGCAAGACGAGAAAATCCAAAAGGACAAGGATTGTCTACCTTTCTACTTCCGGTGCCCTTCCGTGCCCTCTTATTTGTGTGGTCACGGTTAAACCACGTCAACATTTTATATATACTATTCATTTTTGTCTTATTATTTCTATAAAAAAAATATAAAATGTTGACATGACTTAACCGTGATCACACAAAACAACAGGATACGGAAGGGCAAACAATCCTTGTCCAATCCAAAATTGTACATAACCTCGTGTAACTCGTTTTTGTGATCTTGATTTTCAAGAGCAAAAAAAGGGTAGGAATGCGCTACTCACACGGTGCATGTTACGTTGTGTAGGGCAATAGCCAATTTCTCGATGACTTTCTCCATCATATCGGTTCTGACCGGTCTGAACACAACGTACAGTATGGGCCTCAGATATGGTGGGCCCGTTACCATGGTCTACGGGTGGCCCGTAGTGGGCTTTCTCACACTTCTGGTGGGCCTGTCCATGGCCGAGATTTGCTCTGCTTTTCCAACTTCTGGTGGGCTCTACTTCTGGAGCGCCAAACTCGCTGGCAAACGATGGGGCGCTTTCGCTTCTTGGCTCACTGGCTGGTACGTTTTTTATTTTTTCTCTTTTGATTTTTTTTTTTTGTCAAAATATTTTTATTTGTTTCTGAAGTTTTTTTTTTTTTTTTTTTTTTTTTTTGATGAAGTATTAAATATAGCATTAGCATTTAGAATCAAATTATTTTGTTATTTAAGCGATTTTCTAATATAATTTTAATCGTGGAAAAAACATTTCAAATTTAATTAACTCCAAAGAAAAGTAGCATGCTGTTTTAACTAAATTTAACTCCTAATAAATTTGAATATTAATGTGTTAATTTTGGTGGATATGGGCCAAAGATAATTTAGAGCCCAATTTATGAAGTGGGCCTCCACAATTCGTGTGCTCAAGTATTAAGGAAGTCGTCGGCCCACGACCCATTTAGTGGGACCATCACTGTTGTTCGTCCATTGACGGGATATTTTTGAGGAATTTTTAACTTGTTCATTGATTGATTAATAGTTTGTTTAATCACTAATCCACTATTACTATTCTAATTAGACGGTCACATGGGATACTCGGTCAAATATTCAGATTCAAAACTACTAATCATTTGAGATCAGAATCTCTCGTAATTGCATTTTATTGACTTTTATATTCAATAAATTACGCACGGACGAGTGTATGATAATTATTTTCTAGTATCAATAACCGGAGTGATATTTTCTGTCAACATGAGAAATTTTTTAATGTATCGAAAATATGGTTCGATATACCGAGTATTGTAATACAAGTAATTAAAAGTTTTCCTTTATGCGTTCAATCATTTATATTATGATATTTAATGTACTCAACTTTATTTTCAATATGGTGAAAAATCTCTTGAGTAACATGATTTGCCTGTCCTATCATTTATTGGGGTTGTCACTTGTGGTATGACACTAGTTTGTCCTCCCATATCTGTAATTGCCATGCTATCAATGACCTTTCACAAATAATTTGTCAGCTCATGAAAATTCAAAACTTTGTTTTATTTGGAAGATTACACACACGACTTTGTCTGTTAATAAATCGTGTTTAATTCGGTTTCAATTAACAGAAAGTGAATGGATGAGATTTTAGAAACGATCATATTTAAATTTGATAATTTAATTATGAATAAATTCGTATGTATGGATCAATGCAGATTCATTCCGAACCTTGTTACACACGTGTGTTAGATTCGAAATTTGCAACGTATCATATAACACCCTTTCCTTAGAGTTACGTGTTGCTTCATCTTTGAAGCCAAAATATACATGATAAGAAAATTCAGCGTTCACACCAAACAAATAGGAACCCAAAGATTTGGCACCAATTCCTGAAAATGTTTATGGGATGAACACGCCATTAACAGAAAAATTAATTAAAATAATTATATTGTCGTTGGGGAAGTCCAAAGACCCAAAGTCCATGCCCTGCCACGTTGGGAGCATCATCTTCTCCGCGCGACAAGGTGCATTGCCTACTGGTACTGGCTGATCTGTTTGGCCTCACCTCTTCTTCCTAAAGCTCCGTTCTTTGTTTTTCTATTCCCACCCATCCCGTTGACTATTCCCACCCTGCCAAGAAGTCAAGGAAACAGAATACCAGAAGAGATTTGGGTTTGATTCTTTGAATCCAAGAACAAATGGTGAGTGGTGGCGGTGACAGAATGGCACTGCCGTCTCATCAGCCTCCAAACGGTGGCGTTTCACAGGATTCCGGCCACGCCCGCCTCCACGAACTCGGCTACAAGCAAGAGCTCAAGCGTGACCTCTCGTAATTTTTCAAAACTTCCACTCTTTTACTTCGTTTTGAATCCAAAGCTTCAAGCTTTACTGATTTCTGAGGTTTTTTTGGTTGATGGGTTGGCTGGTTTGGAATTGCAGGCTGCTTTCAAATTTTGCGTTTTCGTTTTCCATCATATCGGTGCTCACCGGAGTGACCACTCTGTATAATACTGGGCTGAGATACGGCGGCCCTGTGTCTTTCGTTTATGGGTGGTTTATAACGGGTGTCTTCACCGTCTTCGTTGGGTTGTCAATGGGGGAGATTTGCTCCTCGTACCCAACTTCTGGGGGGCTGTACTACTGGAGTGCCAAGCTTGCTGGCCCCAAATGGGCACCCTTTGCTTCTTGGCTCACTGGCTGGTACTACTTTCCTCTCCTTTCAGTTCTTTTACTTTTACTAACAGTGCTACTCACTCACTTTGGATTTGATTGCTTAGAAAATGAATAAAATTTTGGAGTTTTGTCTGTGAGTATGTGTTTAAGTAGTTTTTACTGGTTTGAAAATCAATCCTTCATTGCTATGATGCTTCATTGCTAGGATTGGATCGGATTGGATAAGTTACTAGATCCAGCGTATGTTGAAGACATGTATGTCAACTTCCAAATTTTGTGAAGGAAACTTGATTTGGCATAGGTTGGTGTGTAGTTCTTTTTTTGGTTGCTCACAATCGTGGTGGGGATTAAATGTAGGACATGCTCAACATGAATAGCTCTGTCTTTAGATAAGGTAAATTAGACATCAGGACGGTGATGATGATCAGTTTTAGTAGAATTTATGTGGAATGAAGGAGGGAATAGGCTCTGATGCATCCGCTTAAGAGTTTTTTTTTTTTCGCTTGTGATGTCTCAAAGATACTAGAATGATGATATGATTACCATGTTATTCTGAGCCTAAAACTGAAATGTATATTGCCCTGCAACTTTAATCACAAGACAGTTCCAAGTTGGTCTTTCTGCCATACTATTTCTGACGACGGTAAATGTTTTTATGTTTTGCAGGTTCAACATAGTTGGTCAGGTACTTCCATGAATTTTTACATTCTAGAGTTTAAATTCCTCCATTGTTCATTGTGATATCAAGCTTGTTATGGCTGTGATATAATCCATTATAAGCTCTAACTGCATTTATACCTTTAAATTGCAGTGGGCAGTTACAACTAGCGTGGATTTCTCACTTGCACAGCTGATTAACGTGATCGTTCTCCTTAGCACACGTGGAGGGAATGGTGGTGATGGCACTTCGATAAATAAGTACGGAACCATTGGTATCCATGCAGGAATCTTGTTTCTACATGCTCTTATAAACAGTCTGCCCATCTCGTACTTATCTTTGTTTGGACAAGTCGCTGCTGCGTGGAATGTTGCAGGTGTAAATTACAATGTATTTTCAAGCTCTTTTTTGCTCGTTTTCAGTTTACTGTTTGAGGCCTTCTATATCTTGTATTTCTTATTGCTTTTGGAATATTAGGTGTCTTTCTCCTCATGATTCTCATACCCTGTGTTGCAACGGAGAGGGCTAGTGCGAAGTTTGTATTCACTCACTTCAACACTGATAACGGGGAGGGAATCAGCAACAAATTTCACATTTTTGTTCTGGGACTTCTGTTGAGTCAATATACCATAACTGGCTATGATGCTTCTGCCCATATGGTTAGTATATATTTCCCTTACTTTGAAATTACTTGGCCAAATAATTCTAACTAAATCCTTGTGTTTCCGTCAACTTCTGTTTCTAGACAGAGGAAACAAAGAACGCTGATACGAATGGACCAAAAGGAATAATTAGTTCCATCGTGATATCCATTATCGTTGGATGGGGTTATATACTCGGCATCACCTTTGCAGTTACTAACATCCCGTACCTTTTGGATGAGAACAATGAAGCTGGCGGTTATGCCATTGCTGAAATATTTTACCTTGCATTCAAGAGTAGATACGGCAGTGGAGTTGGAGGAATTGTATGCTTGGGAGTGGTTGCGGTTGCCATATTCTTCTGTGGTATGAGTTCAGTTACTAGCAACTCCAGGTAAGCAAGCCTGTTTTATTCTTCTCCTACAACAAGAGCCATCTGGGTAGGTTTTAGTCTCTCAGCTGTTCGCTGCACTTAATTTTCTTCTCAGGATGGTGTATGCATTCTCTAGAGATGGAGCCATGCCATTATCACCATTTTGGCATAAAGTGAACAAACACGAAGTCCCCGTAAACGCTGTTTGGCTTTCTGCTTTCATATCGTTTTGCATGGCACTAACAGTAAGCACATGATCACTTGTAGCAAAAATTTTATTTCTGCTTTCTTCGGCAACTGCTAACCATGTTTGTTTCGATCTTTGCAGTCTCTCGGAAGCCTTGTGGCATTCAATGCCATGGTTTCTATAGCAACCATTGGACTGTACATTGCTTATGCCCTACCCATCTTTTTTAGGGTGACCATGGCACGCAAATCCTTTGTCCCGGGACCTTTCAACTTGGGACGCTACGGGGTCCTTGTTGGTTGGATTTCAGTTCTTTGGGTAGCAACTATCTCTGTCCTCTTCTCGTTGCCCGTGGCCTATCCAATTACCATCGAGACACTCAACTATACTCCCGTTGCTGTTGGCGGTTTGCTGATCATCACAGTTTTAGCTTGGATCCTGAGCGCTCGGCACTGGTTTAAAGGTCCTATAACGAACATAGAAGCATGAACTTGTGTATATTCAATGTTGCAATCATCTATAGAATAGGTTTAGTTTTTAAGAAAATCTACACATGGAATTTACTTTGTTTTATCAAAAGCTGATTGGCTTAATTTGTTTAAATTACTCGTTGTATGGTAATAATATTGCAGATTATAGAAATGAAATCTCATTTGGCTACAAATATTTGACTTGATACAAACAAACTTTTAACCAACATAAAAGATGGAAGGGAAACAGGAAGTCTTCTGTAAAGCGAAACTAAAATTACGAACTTGAAGGAAATATAATGCATGCTTGAATGAAACCCTGCATTGGGAACTGATAAACTATGGTGAATCCGGGCTCTTTTCAAGTAAAGTTTCCGTCAGCCATGCACGGTAACGATTGGCATCACCTGCATTTGGTGCACTGTCAAACGGCTCAAACCAGTTGAACTTCTCTGGATCTTCTTCAAGCAGCTTCAACAGATCATCGTACTCCGACATGGGTTGGTTATTGTTTGAACTAGCTGGATGAGCTTCTCTTGCTGCAGCATCCAGCTCTTGGCTTCCACCGGTAAAGTTTGCTGGAAATGTTTCTGCATTGGTTTCATTGACTGAAGGTATCTGTTCCGGCACAACCTCAAGTACGTCAGTTGTTCCGGTGACTTCTGCTGAAAAGTGGTTCTGATTTTGGAAGTAGATTGGGGCAGTCGGGGCTGGAGTATAATACTGTGGTTGATTCATGCCTGCTTCAGTTGTTCCCATGACGTCCGCTGAAAAGTAGTTCTCATTTTGGGAATTGATAGGAGTATTCAGCGCTGGAGCATAAAACTGTGCTTGATTCATGCCTACTTCAGTTGTTCTCGTGGCTTCTGCTGAAAAATGGTTCTGATTTTGGGAATTGATAGGAGTAGTCGGCGCTGGAGCATAAAACTGTGCTTGATTCATGCCTACTTCAGTTGTTCTCGTGGCTTCTGCTGAAAAATGGTTCTGATTTTGGGAATTGATAGGAGTTGTTGGGGCTGGAGCATAAAACTGCGCTTGATTCAGGCCTACTTCAGTTGTTCTCGTGGCTTCTGCTGAAAAATGGTCCTGATTTTGGGCATTGAACGGAGCAGTCGGTGCTGGACAATAATTCTGCGCTTGATTTATGCTGACAGACGCATTCGGGACCTGAAAAGTATTTGCTGATATGTAGGGAGAACCAAACTCTGGTGTCATGTAGTTGGTACTCGGTAAGGTTCTTTCGCTTGCTTTAAACATGATCTCTTCCAATCCAAGTGGTTGGTTTCTCTCGATTTTATTCATGTCAGCTCCTAATGTGAAACTGTTTGTTTCTAGTATCTGATCCAAATTCTCAAACTTTCCTTGAGTTCTCAGATAAAAGTCATAGAGGCTTTCGCTTTGATGATTTGTGTTGTGAGACATGACTCTGTGTTCTGTATACAGATTCTGCCTTCTGTAGTCATTGAATCCAGTGAAAGAATTCGGAGTCATTAATTGCGTTGGATTGCCTTGAGCTCCAGAACTTGAAGTCCTTTGTTCGTACAGGTGGCATACCAGAGAAGTCTGCCTTGCTGGTGGAAATTCATTTCTGTTATTCCAAATGGATGATTTGCCTAATGAAGGTAAGCTCGTCGTGCCAACCTCCTGAATCCGGTGTACGTTTTTTCTATATTTCTGGAAGGAAAAAGAACGTAACATAAATCCTTCTGAAAACAATTACAAATGTGAAAAAAAGTTACTTGAGATACAAGTAGAAGAGAAACCTGCAGATGGCTTGCAACCTGGCGCACCGTTATATCAGGCACATTCATCCATTTCAGAATCCTTCTAGGACGAGCTTCTGCATCCAAAAGAAAACAAGAAAACGAACATAATTTAGCACCTTTCAAGGTGAAAGGAAAACTACAACGAAATATTAGATTGTTTTATGAGAAGTAAGAATTACTTTGATCTCCTAATGCACTTATGGCTGCTGTAAACTTGAGATGAAGTTCCGTTGTCCAAACGGGGTGCCACTTCTTCCGTTTGGAGCTGCCATCGCAATCTTGATTTTCCATTCCTTCCTCATCGCAATCTTGCTCTGTGTTTAGTTTAACCTTCTTCGCTTTTTCTTGGTCTTCTTTATCATCGACTGGTCTGTTTATCCCCAATGCTCCTTGTGTATAATTCTCTGCGGCTATCTGCCGTTCATCGCGAGTGTCTTGTGTGTCAAGACACAATTCGCGTCCGGTGGGAAGCCTAGACACACCGCCAACCTCATGGATTCTAATACCTCCAGTGGGAGGTATAAGCACACCACCGGCCTCGTGAATCTTCTTGCCACATTTTGTTTTATGCGTGTCCTTCCTTGGGTTCCTTACCTTCCGATAAGCGTGTTGCCACACATTTTTCAGATCCTCTGAAGAAACTGGTTTCTGAAGAAAAAAGCATGCTCCTTCAGCCAGGGCCTTCTTGGCGACATCAATGTTCACTTCGGAGGACATGACTGCGATGAAATATAAGTTATGGAACAGTTGGTGCACAACTAGAAGAAAGTTCTAGAAGCCAATCAATCCGAAAAGAAAGTTCTAGATAGATTGAGGCTTACATATGACAGGAATCTCGTTCTTATGAAGCACCTGTAAAAGCGAAAATTTGTCTTTATCTGGCATGCTGATGTTAGCCATTACTAGATCGTAATGATACTTTTGTTCCTTAATCATCGACAAAGCAACAGAAGCCAGTGCAGTTGTGGTAACTAGAAGAGAAACGAGAGAGAGAGAGAGCCATTAACCAAGTTACAAAATATCCAGATATTAAAAAAATAATAAATAAATAAATAAATAAACTTTATGTGCAAACAAATGATGTATATGAAAGAAAATTAATACATATGCCTACACACAAGAAATCTTCAAGTGATAATATTAACGAAAAATTATACACACAAATAAACCGATAAAATCAGAAAAATTTATCTTAATCATCAACGAAAAATTATACAGACATATAAACAGATAAAATCAAAGAAATTTTATCTTAATGTGTATGCAAGAATATAGAGACCAAAAATTATATAGACTGATAAAATCAGGATAAATCTTATATCGTTGTGTATGCGATAACTACTTTAATCATTTAAATGTCCCTTGTTCATAAGAAAATCCCCGTTATTCATGCTTTAGATCCACACAAACAATTTCAAATTTTCAATCTAAAATCAATTACTTTGTTATAGACGTGTATACATAAAATGTAGGTGGAATTTCGTATCCATGTCACTCTTATTTCATAGATCAACTTGACACCATATATTAATATTGGCGTATCAAATTAAGCTTTTGTTGACTAAAGATCTTTGAAGGTATCAAAACATAGGCCTAGACAAAAGAAATGATGAGAATTATGGAATGATTTACCTTTGAAGGAGTATTTTTCTAACGTCGACGCTATGCACATGAGGGACAATGTATCATGATCTACCACCAAGATTTGGAGGCCATGGGCAAAGCTAGGGAGACCATTACTTTCTTTAGGGCTCATGTCTTCCATGGACACCAAAACAATTACAACAAGACTGAGTGCGACAAAGAAAGTACGAGATCCAGAAGCTTGAATCTGAAAAGAAAAATTATTTAGAAGTTAGATTAGGGGGATTAATATCATAGAAAAAGGATTAGATATAGATTAAGAAGCTTTAAGCTCTTAACCTAGAGAGAGATATAGAGAGAGAAAAGATGAGAGTTACCAATGACATGAACTTTGAGGTGCTTAAGCAAAATTGAAATTTATTTGTTGTGAGAGCTCACATTTATCTATATAACTGAAGAAATTGTAGTGAAGCTCAAATTGTGAGTGAAATGGCCACACTCTGGTCAACGGAGTGTCGACCAATGTGGTTAAAACTTGAAACTGAAGTACTAAGAAGAAGTGAAGGAGAAAATTTCAATTATTTTCTTATTTGTAATGCATTTTTAAGTTTTAGCCATTATTTTTGTTTATGAAAACAGAAAACATTACAACGAAGATCCTCGACGTAATTTTAAACCGTACATGTCCAAACTGTACTTAGTTTCTTAAGGCCGATTCCACTCAATTAAGACTTGATTGTTATTATAGTTCTAAAAAAATTGCAGATGCATGTTCTGCATAATTACAAGGAAAGTATAGAACAAGAAAAAAAATTATGAAAAAATTCCCTAATATTAAGGTTTTTGACCAATGAGCTTTTTAGGCAAATTAATTCAAAAGTCATGACTCATGACTAATTTAGAAGCCCTTATCCTGATTAACAATAATGTTTAATTCCAATTCTTAATTTTGATGGAAAGTGAAAAAAATCCAAAAAATGTTCAAAGTCAGCAACAAACTCTGACACGTGGCTTGAATTGACTTCTCTTAAAAGTATAAAATTGCTCCAAGAAATGATGAGTCAAAGAGTTAGTTATTTGGAGTTTTAATGAGGTTTTTATTTTTAAACTTAATTTCCTAATATTAAAATGACTAGTATTATTTTAAAATAAAAATTATGTTGCAGCTTAGGCTGATTACTTATGAGTACCAAATAATGTTACTAAATCTGTTAATTACGAATAACTAGCCCTATATATTACAGACGAATTTAATTGGAGTCGGATTACTCAATACTTAAATAGAAAATAATTTGAGCAACTAGTTTAGCCACGATTAGTGTGAATAACTTGTTATATTAAAAATTAAAACAAAGTTTGCGCCTATTGGCGTGGCGGAAGTAGCCTTGGGCTTCTTGGTAGGCGCTCCCGCGCTTCAATCTTTTTTTAATTTGTAAAACTTCCATATATTACTAATTCAATATAACTTTTGCTTTACAAAAGAAAATTCTCGTTATATGCCATATAAAAAGAAGAGAGGAGTGAATTACCTAAAATTATTCGAACTTTAGGGTTGATTCCAAACTACTACTTGAACTTTGATGTCTTAACAAACTAGACCCAACACGCGAAAACTATACATTTAGGCACATTAGTCGACGAGTCTATCGACGGATATGACTTTGTTGAGCCATCAAAATTCCGGTACTAATTTGAAGTCGACCTTAAAATTTAAGAGTCTTAAGTGGTTCACCCAAATAACAATTAATGATTATCTTTTTTATACAACAATTTTGAATGTCACCTTAAAGAAGGGTTCAAGGGAAATGTCATCGCGACTTTTCAAAATCCTGTCATCACACTCTAAAATCGTCAAGTTTTCCTAAACTCGAATTTGATATCAGTTTATCCCCTACTCGTAATGCATCGTTGAATAATAAAAATTAAAAATTAAAAAACCACCAAGTTTTTCAAAACATACTGTATGTTTTATTAAGTTATCAAATATTTTAAGTATTTGGTCTTCACAAATTCTCAAATGAGAACCTTAAAAGAGCATGACTCTTGAAATTCGTATAAAAAATTTGGCATGTTGGATAATTGGATCAATAGATCAGGCCCAGCCCAGAGATTTTTTCTTCGAAAATGTGTTTGATTAGGCTGCTTCTTTCGGCGGGACGCTTAAAAGATAAAACTATCGCTTGAATTAAATTGAATTGAAAAGTCGGAGAGTCTGACTTCTCGGGTCGACAATGGTGAGATGCTCACTCCAAACGCATTAGGGTTTTAATTTGTTCAGATTTCGATTTTTATTCTATAACTATATTCAGCAGTGGTCGCACATCTCACTGTAACTTCTGATTTTCCAGGAGGATTTTTCCGAAGAGCTCGAGCCCTTATTCGATTACAGACGCGTTCAGCCCGTCAATCTAATATGCCTCGACGGTGAGCTCTTTCCTCCTAATTTTGGTCGATTCGGTTGAGAGGACGCATAAATTATTCAACTTTTTCATAAAAAAAAGCTTGATTCGATTTTTGTTTTTGTTTTTATGTTTGTATAGACGATGAATTAGATGCTCCGTCAGCTTCTCCTCCGAAAAGGAGGAAAATTTCCGATTCCGTGGTAACAATTTGTTATTGAAATTGTGCTCTGTCTCTGTGTGGGTTAAATTCCATATGATAAGAGGAATTGATGTAAATTGCAGTATCTGTTGACATTATTTTGGATAATATTGTGATTAGGTTGAGAAGGTTGACGAACCTGTGAAGGTAGTGAATGTTATTAGCTGTGAAGATAAGGAAGAGGAGGACTGGTTACCTCCTCCACCCAAGGTTTCTGCCGGCGCTAAGCGGAAGGGTGGGGATTCTACCATAATGGAACTGAGGTATTTGGATTTTGGGTTTTTTACTGTAATTATTATATCTCTCAAAACATATAGATTATCTTTGCCTCAAGTAGAAATTTGTGACGCGTTAGCAGCTAGTGCATGCGCTTCCCGTTCATTAGATTCAAGTTGGTAATTGGAATTTATGCGTTTATTGTTTTATGAAAGAAGTATAGTTCAATGTGGCCAGTTATCTTAGAATATTAAGGCTTTATTTGGGTCTCAGATATAGTGATGACGAGTTATGCTTGTTGTTTTTGGTTTACCCTTTTTCGTTTTGGTTTCTCTGTTGCAATTCAAATTTTCCAATTAAATGTGGTCTGTGAATGTAGGAAAAAGAAGCAAGAGCTGGCATCATTTGCACAATCAGCTGAAAATGTGTTGAGATCGGTAGAGGAGTCTGTGAAAAGAGAACTTAGTAGCTCATTGGAGGCTGTTGAAGAACAACCTCCAAAGCCCCGCCCTGAACGAAACAAAATTGTTATATCTATTCAAGACAAAGATGGAGTTAAGCAGTTCCGTATTTATGCGGTATGTTGTGCAGAAGTATTAACCTTTACAATATTTTTGTCTAGTACTCTTTGGCCTAATCTCTGATGTATATACGGGCTATGTGATATTAAACAATGTAATATTTCAATTGTGTTTTCTTCTACTTCAACAGGACGACAAGTTTGAGCGGCTCTTCAAAATGTATGCTGATAATGTTAAGCTTGACCTTCAGAGTCTGGTGTTTTGTTTTGATGGGGACAAAATAGGTCCAGCTGCTACGCCTGATGCCCTTGGGATGGAGGAAAATGACATTATTGAAGTGCATTTTACCTCAAGATGACATGGTAATGCATCAAATATGATTTCGCAATCTATCTTTCGACTTGTATCGCTTTTTACATTCTTGCTTTAGGGTATATCCTTACACTCATGGTATTAACGTTTTAGGTATAAAAGTATAAATTCATCAAATTTCCTGGAAAAAGGAGATTAGGAGCAAAAGCCTTGGTTTGGTTATGCTTAAATTTGAAAGAGTGGACATGGTTGGGTTGATTAAGAGCAAGAACCCGTTTCGCCGGCTTCAGAACTGGGGAATCTCATAAACATGTTGCCACATTAAAATCATTAGATGTGCCAAGAAAGTCTTTTTTTTAGGTAGAACCAAATTACGAAGTTTTGATCTCGAAGTGGAATAATTGTCATATCGTGTAACCGTGGCTGGTCCTAATGCTGAAACATCAGTACTCTAGATATTGATTCTAGCGGTTGAGTTCATTGTTTTCTGGAATCTAATCCAATTTTGCTTCGTTACTGCTGCTGTCGACAAATACTTGTTTTAGATGTTTATTTCTCATATTTGCCCATTGTTTGAGTTTTAGCTATAATAGTTTGTGTTTCTGGTTCCTTTCGGCTTTCCTCTTTGAATTCAGGTGTTTCTTCAACCGAAGAACTTAATCCGTCACCTTGATGAATCTTTGATGGGGACTGGAAGGGCCTTTGACCGGCATCTTTTGGTGTATGTTTGTAGTTTGTGCAGTACCTGCTCTTTAACTGTATAGTGTGTCATTGTATTTTGAAATTATTTTAGAACAAGTGCAAGCTTCGAAGTACAGAGATTGGATTTGGAGAAAGAAAATATTCTTCACAAATCTCATGTGAACGTGGATAGTGGACCTGATTCAGTACTCCCTAATTCTGTTTTGCATTAAACGGGCACGTAGCTTTATTTGGCTGGAATTTGTGATTTGTTAGCATTCGTTTAGAAGTGCTTTTACAATGTTTGAAAGCGCTTTTGGTGAAGATTTTTGGAGCGAATCATTATAAAAATGCAGGTGAATCTTGAAAAAACACTTTAAATGTTTCCTACAAGAAGCACATAACTAGTGCTTCAAGTGCTTTTGGACCCAAAAACATTTTTTCTAAGACCGTTTTTAGTTATTTTAAAAATACTTCCAAACGAGCGATTATTTGCTAATGCTAGTTCAATTTTTGAGATGCTATCTCCATCTCTTTTGCCATTCGTTATCAAAATTCAAAACCACAATAGCTATTTTCAGCCTATTTCGATAACGAAAACTGTAGAATTCTCATTTACGCAATTATGATAGTAATTTAAATCAATCACGCAATTATGATAATATTTCAAATCAATACGAAAGGAACACGTATAAAATATAAAAAGTGCACTCACATTTTATGTAACTGAAAGAACAGAATAGGTGGGTGGATTACAAACCGAAAGAAAGTAGAGAAATTGAAACAGCAAGTGAGACTTCGGATCACATGGATCGCGTAATTCACGTGCATTCACACTTGTCTCTCAGCCAATTGGAACTGGATAACGTGGATGATGATCCCATTGCCACGAGCCACGTATCCGAATCCACGCTGGAAAAGTTTCCCCTCTTACATGTCCACGTCAGACCCATAAAGCGCGATAAAAGCAGGAAGAAGAAGGAAGTAGAAGATAACCAAAACAAACGAGCTCTGTGCTCTCTCTCACTCACCATCTCACCTTTAATTCCCTGCTCAACAGAAAGAGGTACTTTTTCTCCGAATTTCGTCCAACCTTTTTTTTTATTATTTGAAATTGTAATTGAATTTTCTATATGATGTTAAAATTTCAAACTTTAATGCAGCCTTAATTACCTGTTTAACCACGCATCATTAACTTAAACACACGATCCGAACAGTTTATCTTCTAAATTCTCGTTTAAAGATCATCCCCGTAGAAATTCACCGAAATCGGAAATCATTTAGCCATTCGGTTAATGCATAAAGATTCATTGCCTTGTCTCTCAACCATCCGCATCCGATCTAAAAGCTGAGGAACATGAAGCTCTGATCTTATTAAGATCTAATCAGAAAATCTCAAATAGTACGTTTGTATATATACATGCAAAAAAGATTGTACATTTCATGTTGGTTATATCTGGCAGAAATAGGGCTCGGCAGATTTGGGGTTTCAAAGTTTGGAAGGATAATAAAATGGAGAAATTTTGTGAGTTCTGCTTGGCATTGAGGCCGGTTGTGTACTGCAAAGCTGATGCAGCACTTCTTTGCCTCTCCTGCGATGCGAAGGTCCATTCGGCAAACACACTTTTCAACCGGCATTTGCGCAGTATCTTGTGTGACTTGTGCAGACATTTCCCGGCTTGTATTCAGTGTTTGGATCACAAGATGTTTATGTGCCGTGCCTGTGACCGTGCTTTGCACACGATCGCCTCCCAACATCCAAAAAGGGCAATCAGCAGTTACACAGGTGAGTTTTTCTAGTACGCATCAATGTATGCACTACATTCTTCAACTGGACAGATAGAAGATAGAACTGGTATATCTGACGGCCGCAAAATACGCAGTACATTGATGCATTGTAGAATTTTCGTGCACAGGTTCCCCGTCTGCTGAGGACTTTGCAGCATTGTGGGGTTTCAAATTGAACGAGACCGACAATTGTAGTGCGCATTTGGATTTGAATGGGACTCTGTCCAATTCTTGTGGCTCTTCGTGCGACTCAAGTGCAGTAAACTTGGATAGTCTAGAGCAGTCTTGCTCTCAAGCTGAAGGCCTTCTGGCAGCAAATTCTCTCACCTGGATTTCAGGTGCTGAACCTGAAGCGGGATCGAGCAGTCAACAATACAAGGTATGCAGGAGCTTTTAATTGTTCTCTTTAAACTTGGCTGACAATGTAATTGGCACTGTTGAAATATACAATATGAATTTGGTATGTAAATATTCGTTAACTAGTTTATATTTATCCGCGCTTAAAAAGCATGAGAGTATCAGAATTGGAGTTTCTCTTGATATTGAACATCTGCCGTTATGGATGAGGTGCAGTCTTATGTGACTAGGTCTGGGAATTCGCTGTAACTTCGTGCGTTAAAGTGTATCTGACTGCGTTCTATCTTGCAGATATCTCCTGAAGGTCAAGAGAACAATTTCATTCTGCACCAGATTCTAGAATTGAAAAGGATTCAGCTTTCTGGGGGAAACGGCCCTTCACTGCTGGAACCCGGTAGAGAGCAAAGTGACCTATCTTCCTCAGTACTTCGGACATCGAAGAGGCTCGATGTTCATCTTGATCAGCGTTTACAACATTCTCAGAATGCCGGCATTAAATTTAGGCAAAGGGACAGTCCGGTTCAGGAACTGAAAGTTGATCATTTATCATTTCCATTTTCTCAAATGGAGCATATGCAACCATCTTCACCTGCTGGACTTCCATTGCATACAGAATCCTTTTGGCAATGCAGAAGTCCGGTTCAAAGTAATCAGGTTCGATCAACGCCGGTGAAATTGATTCATTTGGAATGATATGTAGTTACATCTCACTTGTTACTCGTTTAAACACGGATAGGCTATCGTTTAGAAGTGCCACAAGGGAGATTAAGTTTTAATTATGTTCAACAACAACTGATAACTTTAGGCCTTGTTAAAGATCATAACACATTTCATTTTGTTTTTCCATATGATCATGTATTGGTTTTGCAGTTGTGGCCTCAAAATATGCAAGACATAGGGGTTTGTGAAGAACTTGTTTGTTCTGATGATTTCGATATACCTGATGTTGATATGACATTTCAAAACTTCGAAGAACTATTCGGAGGTGATCAAGATCCTATCAGAGCTGCAGTGCTTCATGATAAAGATGTGTCTTACTCGTCGGTGGAGAAGGGCATATCCCTGGACAAATCGGATAATGGCAATGCAAGTGCAGCGTGCGAATTTTGATTTTCCTTCTCTTCTGGTTTCTGACTTAAACTCTTTTCTCATTTATGTTCCTAAATGATCATTTGGCAGGAACATGATGCATCAGAGGCTTCATCTGTTTTCATTAATCGGTCTGCTCACTTGGACAACGATAAGGCTTGTAACCAACCTGAAAACCATCAAGAAAACATGGATTCTCCATGTCCTATTCAACCGTGTTCAACTCTGTCGTTCTGTATTTCAAGGCACAGCACCGAAGGCAGTGGGAATGATTGTCATAACAGCGAGATTTCCCCCATCACCGGAGGGGAGAGCTCAAGCAGTTCACCTCATGTAAGTAAAAGGAGGAGGAACAAAGATTAGAAGCATTCCCGGCTGTAAGCCTGTAAGAACAAGGATTCTCTGCTCTTCTAAACCTTTCAAATACGAGGTTTTATCTAAATTAACAAATTCTGTTCTCGTTTTATGTTAATACTTCAGAGAAAAAAATCGACATCAATCATCTACGTCTGACTTAAGAAGGCGGGCAAAAGGCAGAATTGCAAAGTGAGAAGACTCTGATTTGGACGCGATTAACGTGACTTCTGATGAGAAGAAGAAGCTGATTGAATTTCTGCATTGGATGCATCTTGGTCTTGTACATATACCTGTACAGCTTGATTTTCTGGTTTAAAAATACATTTCATGCTTCGTTTAAAAATCTTGATATCATCTCACATTACATTAAATTATAAAAAAAAAAAATTACTTCAGTTAATGCAATATGATTTCCTTGTTGGTAAATATCACATCTAGAAATTACTTTGCGACCTTTGGTGCAACGGAAAAGTTGCTCCTTTATGACGAAAAGGTCACGAGTTCTAGTTGTGGAAACAGTCGCTTTGCAAAACGACAAGACTATGTACAATAGACATCTCTTCTTCAACCCTGGCAAAGCGGGGAGCCTTGTTGGCTTGGGTCGCCATCTTTTACTTTACTTAATACAATATGATTTCCTTGTTGATATATATCACGAATTTGTAAACTCGACAAAATGATAGTTTAGAACGCGCCTTACATGCAGTGAATCAAAAACCCATAAACAGTTATTCATTGTCCACCAATTGTGGTTAACGAGTTTTAACATGCACTTGTCATAATCAAAATGGTTCATTTCTTAATTTACATTTAGAAAATCATATGTGTAAAAAAAACAATAAAAATGAATATGCTTTAGCCATCCTTATTTATCAAATAAATACACAGTTAATCACGACGATCTTATTTGTTACCAAAATCATCAAGTGTTTCATACATATAAAAAACTAAACTATCTTCAAATTTATTGCATAAATAATCTTTAAATGATGAACAAGAAAATAAACAATCCTCTCATTAAATACGTACGATGAAAAATTGAATTTAAAACAAAAAAGGTTAATTAGACTGAGAAAAACATGTGTTGCTAACAAGTGGCAGTGCTATTGGGAGGAGTCAATGTGGGATCGATCATATTATTATCATTCACCACCAAACATTGGATATTAGATTTTGATGGGAGATCAACTCTCCCCAAAAGCACAAGCTGGTTGTTATACCTGCGGCTGTGTTAAACAAGCAACCTCCTCCCCGTAACCATAACCGATAGAAAGTGATGATTATATTCCGTCTTTCATTTGAATGCTACTCACGTCCTAATTGTTAGGAATGTCGGTACTACAAGATAGAGAATGCACAAGGTAAAGTAGAAAATGGACGCCAAGAATTTATGTGGTTCGGCAATTTATGCCTACGTCCACCAAACAAGGAATCTTCACTACAAGAAAAAAAAATGAATACAACAAGAGTAGTCTTACCAAGCCAAAGACAAGGCTTGATGGATACAAGAAAGTATAACACACACTTTCTATCACTCTAAACTTCACTCACACAATGTGTAGTGGAACACTCTCACTCTCACTCTTGGAGTGGAACTCTAGCTTTGGACTTGATCCTTTGCTACTCACTCTTGGTTCTCAATTGGTTACATCACACCCATATTTATAGGTGAGGGCTTGGCATTCTACTAGTTTCTAGTTCCTTCTTCAAACCTCTAGTATAGAAAAATCTAGACTAGCCATATACTTGTAGCTTCTAGATCTTTCCATTTTGCAACCAAGGAAGCTAGTACTCTCTAGCTTTTTTCCATCAACTTAATAACATTCTAGAATTGTCTAGCAAGCTCCAGCCTCATCTCTTGCTTACTAGAATAATCTAGAACATTGATCATGGGCTGGACCATATACCAACAATCTCCCCCTCCAGTCCATGAGGGAGGAATTCCGATCATGACTCCAAGTTACCTGGAGTTCATCCCAGCAGCCTTAATGCAGAATTCCAACTTTGATTTTTGTGACTACCTTTGTCAACATGTCTGAAGAATTATTATCGGTATGAATCTTCTTCAGCTGCAGCAACTTGTTCTCGATAGCGTCTCTAATCCAGTGATAACGAATATCAATGTGCTTAGTGCGTGAATGATATGTAGTGTTCTTGCTCAAGTCCAGAGCACTCTGACTATCACAATAAACGCCATAATCACTTTGCTTCAAACCCAACTCTTGGAGAAACCGCTTCAGCCACAACAACTCCTTGCATGCTTCTGTAGCGGCTATGTATTCAGCCTCGGTTGTGGACAAAGCAATGCACTTTTGTAACTTGGATTGCCAAGACACGGCTCCCCCTGCAAAAGTAAACAAGTACCCAGACGTAGATTTTCTACCATCCAGGTCACCTCCCATGTCAGCATCTGTAAATCCTTCCAAGATTGGTTTGGAACCGCCAAAGCACAAGCACATCTTAGAAGTCCCTTTCAAATATCTGAGAATCCACTTAACAGCTTCCCAGTGGTCCTTCCCTGGATTAGAGAGAAACCTGCTCACCACACCTACTGCATGAGCAATATCTGGCCGTGTGCACACCATTGCATACATGATACTTCCTACTGCTGAAGAGTAGGGAACAACTGCCATTTTCTCCTTTTCTTCATATGTTTTTGGACATGACTCTTTGCTCAACTTGATATGATTGGCTAAAGGTGAGCTTACCGGTTTGGCTGCTTTCATGTTGAACCTTTCAAGCACCCGTTCAACATACTTTTCTTGTGACAGCCACAACTTCTTGGATTTTCTGTCACGAATTATCTCCATGCCCAAAATCTGCTTGGCTGGCCCTAAGTCCTTCATGTCAAAGGACTTAGATAACTCTTCTTTGAGCTTTTTAATCATAGAAGCATCTTGTCCGACAATCAACATGTCATCAACATAAAGCAATAAGATGATGAATGTACCTCCAGAAAATTGTTTGATATAGACACAAGAGTCAGCATGAGTTCTCTTGTACCCATTACTCACCATGAATGAGTTGAACTTCTTATTCCACTGTCTCGGAGCCTGCTTAAGACCATATAAACTTTTCTTAAGCTTGCACACCAAATTTTCTTTACCTTTGACTTCAAAGCCTTTGGGTTGCTCCATGTATATCTCCTCTTCTAAATTGCCGTGGAGAAATGCAGTTTTAACATCTAACTGCTCGAGCTCAAGATCCATGCTTGCTGCCATACCAAGGATAACTCGAATGGAAGTCATCTTCACCACCGGTGAGAAAATCTCATCAAAGTCAACTCCTTTCTTTTGACCAAAACCTTTGACAACCAAACGAGCCTTGTACCTTGTCATGTTGTCGTCTCTTTTCAATTTGAACACCCACTTATTTTTCAATGCTTTCCTGCCCTTTGGAAGCTCCACCAGCTCATAGGTATCATTCTTTGATAAGGAATCCATCTCCGACTCCATTGCCTTCATCCATTTTTGTCACTGTCGTTATGAGCTCTGGCCTCCTCATATGTTTCGGGCTCTCCATAATTAGTCAACATGATATACTCTGATGAAGAATACTTGGTAGACGGTCTTCGACTTCTGATGGATCTTCTGACCTGATCTTCATTCTCTTTGTAGGGCTGGAGGCTCTCCCCCTGATTGGGTTCTCCTTGAATATGCTCTTCTTGACTAGGCTCCCCCTGATCAGCAATCTCATGGTTTGGCACATCTTGATCAGGCTCCTCTTGATTAGCATTATCTGATTCTGCAGGCACTTCATTGGCAGTTGCTTCAGGGATGTCATCGTGACTTTCTTCATCTGAAGCTAATGGATCAACTCCTCTGACTGCGCCATCTGGTTGTGCCTCTTTATCCGAATCCCCAATTGTTTTGTTCTTCATAAAAGACCACGTCTCTACTTCGGATAAACTTCTTCTGGTATGGGTCCCATAATCTGTAACCACCAAATCTTCACCGCCATAACCAAGAAAGATGCACGGTGTAGCTTTGTAGTCTAACTTCGATCTCTGCTCTTTGGGCACATGCACAAAAGCTTTGCAACCAAACACCTTCAGATGAGAGTAAGACACATCATTACCAGTCCATACTCTTTCTGGAACATCAAGACCTAATGGTACTGATGGAGATCGGTTGATCAAATAGCAGGCTGTCCTTACAGCTTCACCCCAGAACTGCTTAGATAACTTTGCAGTCCTCAACATACACCTGACTTTCTCCATGATGGTTCGGTTCATTCTTTCAGCAACACCGTTATGTTGTGGAGTTCCAGGAACTGTCTTCTCATGACGTATGCCATGTTTTACACAATACTCTCTAAACTGGTGAGATGTGTACTCGCCGCCGTTGTCGCTACGAAGGCACTTGAGAGGTTTCCCAGTTTCCCTCTCCACCATGGCATGGAACTCCTGGAATGTCCTGAAACACCTGGTCTTTGGATTTCAACAAATACACCCACACCCTTCGTGAAGCATCATCAATATAAGTAACAAAATATTTATTTCTTCCAAGTGACTCGACTTCCATGGGACCACACACATCTGAATAAACAAGATCTAACAAGTTTTCCTTTCTTTGTAGATGGAATCGAAAAACTAATTCTTCTTTGTTTCCTAATAAACAGTGCTCACAAGAGTTTAAACGACGTACCTTTGGCAAAGGGAATGTGAGACTTCTTTGCTAAAACCTGTAGGCCTTTCTCGCTCATGTGACCTAGCCTCTTATGCCACAAGTCTAGAGATGAGTCCTCCACAGCATTCAACTCACCTTTCAAAACCTTGGCATTTGACCGGTACAACGTACAACAACAAAGTCGTGCTCTTGCTACCACCATTAAGCCTTTAGTAAGCTTCAATTTTCCTTCGCCAATATGGTGATAATATCCTTGTCGATCAAGGGTACCAATGGATATCAGATTGAGACGTATATCAGGAATATGTCTCACATCTTTCAACATCAATTGGCAGCCGAGATTAGTTCTTAGACATATATCACCAATTCCAAGAATTTTGGAATAGCTTTCATTCCCCAT